GCAATACGTCATTCATTTGTTATAGGAACTATGTCGAACTTGTATCACATTATGTAAAATGTTTTTGTACGTAGACTATAATTGACAATTAAAAAGCTATGGAAGATGCACCCTTCTTGTCATGTCCACAATTGCAATCGGTTTTATTCTTGTACTTTTGGTCAGGATTGTACCGGCACAGTAGAAGTACTTATGTACTGAAAGACCGTAATCCGGCCAACAACGACGTACCAGTCTCTCGACCTGACATTTAACGCTGTTACACAAGTCTCTCCTCCGTTAGAGTTAAGATGCTGCCATTTATTCAAATGACAGAGCAAAGGTAGGAAAAGGTAGAGAAAAAACTGGGGGACTGTTGCTCTGTTATTTCCAAAGGTCTCACTGGGAATCGCGATTTTTACTCTCTAAAACGAAGCATTCCTGAGTCTTATTTTAAACCATCTGACGCGTTTAAAGAACAGCAATTTTAACAGATAAACAAAATTTTCAGCAGATATAGAACAACAGTTTACCATAAGTAGAAAAATGTTGCTTAAATTACTTATTGACGTCATTTGATAAAAAACCGAGTTGAAGAATTTCGAGAAGACAATAGGGAAGTATAAATTATGTTTCTTGGATAGATAAAAATGATTATTATTACTACTATCTATTTTGTGGCTCGAGAAATTTACAAGAATTTAAAAGCTATAATAACAACTTTTGTAGACTAAATATGTTTTGTGGAGATCAGATCACTATGGAAGGTGCTAGTTACAATGATAATGCTAATGACGACGATGACAAAGTCTACTTTAAAGCAAATATTTGTTGCAAAAACTAGCAAAGCTGGTTAGAAGTACATACTTCAAATAATCTAAATTGCGTTCAGTTAGAACTTAAAAAAAATATAACTTGAATGTAATGCAAATTTTTCTATATTCTATTCTGATTTATATTCATTTTTATTATGGAGCTTTAATACACTTGAGATATTGTTTAATCATCTGGGTATGTGTAACAATGGCTGATACATTTGAATAATTAATCTAATCTTAAGTCATTCACGGCCGTGGATATCAAGGATTCCCCGGATGATTCATCGTTTGTAATACGTGCATATATGTATGTTTCATCACTTTCCTTTCTTTCCCATTGTACCGGAGTCCTCTTGAATAAGAACTGTGCGCGTGGCAATTTCATTGCAAAACGGTCGTCGCACCGTCGTATTATTTATTCATAAGCCGGTACGCAGTCTGGTTGCATTGGATTATTGTTGTCTGGGAAAGTGCGAGTTCACAGCCGTGGAAATCGTACCGAGAATATTTCCACGCGCTGCCCTTCCCTTCCTTCTTTAATTACAGTCCCTAACAGTTTCTATTTCTACGACCATTATAATGTTTAACTCAACGCTATTATTACTACAATCAGTAATTTACGGATTTAGAACGAAATTCAATCGTTTTATTTTGCATAAAAATTCGCAGTCTAATTGTCATTTAATAAAACTGCATGTGCATAATTTGAAATTGTGATTGATCTTGAAAAATTGATGAGAATTAAATCGGCTGCTGTTTAAACTATGTTACTACAGTCTTATCTTATCATCAGGCTTATCAAGGCGTTATCGTATTCTATCAAAGCCGCGATAATTTTTAGATTATCTACAAATAAATCGAGGCCCTGTTATGTTGACAATTTTCATCGAAGCTAACAAACATTCAAAGTTTTAAAAAATTGTACAGTAAATAAAAATACAATTTCTCTAAACAGTTTTATAATTGTCCTACTCCTAAATGTCAATTAGGTTTCAGGCAAATGTGTGAAAAGACGAAAAATGTTATTTATGGTTTATTGTTAGATAGAAAAGGTTGGTACAGGTAGTTGAAAATTGTTACGAGTGCAACGGATATTCTAAGCAAGTTCATGCTTAGGTGCGGCTGCAACTTTGTTCACGGTGAAATAACGCGTACACTTTCGTTCACAAGTTACACACCGTGAACTCTGTTCGATTATACAATGCACACTAATATTTCAACAGCGGGATAATAGAAGCGATGTATAATTAAATACATATATTAAAACGAAACCCTTTAACATTTTCAATTATGAAATTGGAAGAATCAATTATTAAGGGCATCGCAG